AAATGGGTTTTAGGGGCTCAAATAGAAACCCTTCATTTCATTTTAATCCGATTTCATTATGATCTGCGACAATAAATAACGATAATCAGTTGAAGATAGTGAAGATAGACTTTTTTACCTGGTCTCAATAAATATTTGGAATCTATTTTAACCAATCCTGTTGGGAGGTTACCACTTTGATATAGGGACCATCCACCACCTGCATCACCAGATGAAGTAGTATACCAGATCTTTTCTGGACCAATTCCTGTATATGTCATATTATAAGTCCAGTAACATGTTTCCGCTAATCTTATGGCTGTTTCAAGGTCATTAGGTCGATCTAAAATTTTCGATCCCATGGCAAGCATTCCAGGTACAAAACATGCCTAATTTATTATTCAACCGAATTAAAAGTACAAATAAATAAACGTATAAATTAAATATATCTAGATATAGATATATAATCTATCATCAAATGAAACAAACTGTAATTACCAAGTGATCCATTTCACTTATAAAATTATTCGAAGAGAAATCACCAAGGAACAGCAAGTCTGGACGATCTTTAATGATATCATCTTTAAGAAGGTATTTGTGCATACTATCAATGGATTCAACGTCTGGGTATAATAGTCTATCCGTTAGATAAGTATAATGATTTATTATCAAAATGTTTTGTCATTAAATATTAAACATACACATCCTCCGGTATTGATCAATTGCACCTCCAACAAATATATATTCTTTAAGTAAATACTAAAGCATATAAATTAAGCAAATTTAAGTAAATAATCTCAAAACACAATTAAAAGCATAACGAATATACCTCATAAAAACTGTCACCATTAGCCCCAAACGATATATAATCTAATTAAAAAATTAATAGACTAAAAAATACATAATAGGTCCCGTGCAAATTAAGACTTACCGTTTGTAAATTGACCGGTGTCTTTTTTTATTTGATTAACAAAAATATGAAACAAATAAGACTATTAGAAATTATAAAATTTTACAATATTGAATAACAACATACTATAATCAATTCTGATGGGATATAATCCAGAAACCTTTTTTGATGCGTTATCAAGAACATCTGTTGTGTTTTGGACCTTTATTGATTTCACAAGGTCATAATACAACTATGTTAAATAAACCATCAATATTATTGTGAAGCTAGAGCTAAGATAACAGCTTACCTTGAAAAAAAAATTACTATCATCCGTTAATTGTGACAATTTCATAAATTCCAATTGTAAGGTTCCGACTTGAGCCAGTAATGCACTATAATAACCATCAGCTTCGCCCCTGAAACATACAGGTTATTTGTCAATGGTAATAAAATATAAGAACGAACATTATTTTTAACGAACAAACCTTGTAAGACTCCAATAGTTATATGGTAATCCACTAGGACTATCAAAAGAAGGTAAAAGTGCATTGCCTAATTCCAGTGCTTTCTCTAAAAATATATTATCCTTTGATAATTCATATGCACTCAATAATCCACCCAGATAACGGATTGTAGTCTCAAACACACTTATGGTATCATCAGTTTGTGTAAAATTCACCAACTGAACAAAATCCCTGGATCGACTAAACTCTTCTTTTAAACCCATGATCCACATTGTGTCCAATGCGTCAATAATCGTCGCTCCCCAACCGTTAAAATTATTCCTGCCATTATTTGTTGACGGAAACAATTCATCATAACCCCACGCATATTTAGTATATCCTTTCCAGGCGTGAAGAAATCCATTTTTTATGGAGTCACGACGGAATTCTCTTAATTGTTTTTCATTGGGAGGTTCATTTTTTAAAAAATTGTATTGTATTTTAGGAAGTCGAGTAACGTTATTCAAATGCATTTGTGAGCCTAGTTTATGTGAAGCACTAAAGAATATATCTTCGATCCATTGATTTGAATCCACCCAAATATTTTGGTACTCAGGATTAGAAATGCGTGCAAGTTGATATGTTAACAATCCGAAAAGAAATAGAAGCAAAATAGTAAGTCGAAGACGAGTATTCAATCCCCATATTCGAACAGTACCTCTTAGCATTGTTTGTTTCTTTTGAATAAATATTTACAATGTTAAATAAAGAAAAAATAAAATTAAACTAGTTTCAATACATTTATCTGATTTAACGATTCAAGAGGTGGCAATGTTACTAACCTTAAAAATAGTGGTCTGCAATTATCTTGATACATTTTTAAAAAGTTTTTTTAAAAACTTGTGTGCGAAATTTTGAATATAAATTAAAATAATGAAGTTTTTGGAAAGTTGATATTCTGAAATTGAACTCTAATATGGTAAAATATCCGAATAATCAACAGAAATTCGAGATGAATGAACTTAATGTGGTTCGATCATCAGCAAAGTAATATAAAAACATTCCCATGTGGAGTTTAATGTTTTTGATAAACTGTCAGATGTGATTGATATACTTTATATTATATTTTTTAATAACGCTATTAACATATTATGTGAATGTTGCAGAGACTGTTGTCTTATATAAAGAGACTATATACGCATGAAATTGTTAGACCTGCATTACAGCTGTTTCTATAAATTCTGAGACGCTTGAAAAATGTCCGAAATGATAGGTTTCTGACATCAATGTCAGTAACTTATTGATTCTGACTCGATAATTTATCGATTCGGTTACTGGAAAATATGAAAGCAGCTGGAATACCGACTAAATGGAGTCTTTGCTGACGGAAATCAAATTATAGTTCTTGCAAGATTCGGATGAATTCCAGCACGGGATACATTTTTCGTGAACAATTTACCCGTTACCTAGTGATGAATTTAGCATTCCCTTAAAAAAAAGTTTAGTAACTGATTAAATTTTGCTTTAATTATGTGATGACGATTATTTATTAATAATGATGATAATTGTTAATACGTATATAAAAAAAAAATTACTATTTTGGTTTTTTAACACTATTTGTCTAACACTATTTGTTGATTACACAATATCAAGCGAAACACTCAAGTAAAGATTGCCAATCATTTAAAAAAACCAAAAACTTTTTTTGAATAAAAAAGGTTGTAATGAATTCTTAAAACGGGCAAAAAACAAATTCGAAATGACAGTATGAAAAAAATCTATACTTTTGGTGATTTAACATAGACTGTCTACGATTCCTTAGTTTTAATACATACTAGAAATTGGAGGGCAATATTAGACTCCTTTTTGAGTATTGTATCGATTTTATAGAAATTTTAGATTTTCAAGAAAGCAATTTTCCTGAATTCTCAATTGCAAATAAAATTCAAACTGATGATGGATATTATTATGTATAGATTATCATTAAAATTATATCTAGAACTGATCATATTGGTATAATTTGAAAACTAATTAAGATCACACAAGTAGAAAAAGACAATAAGCAACCAGTTAATATACTGTATTTGCTTTATTGCTCTTATAATATATGGGAGGAGGTCAATAGAAAACAGGCAAATTGTTTTTAGTAAATTTTTTTAAAATTTGAATTAAAAAATTTCAACAATGATCAAAACAAATTTAATAAATTTTTGTTTTTTATTTAACCTATAATTATGTAGAATCAGTATAAAAAAATATATATAATAAATTTGGTTTATAATTGCTGAGATATTTCAATTTAAAATTTTAAAAAATTTTACTTAGAAAAATTTTCCTGTTTTCTATTGACCTCACCCCATATATTAAAATCGCCGATAACTCAAAATAATCTCTAATAAAAAAAATTCTTGGCCTAATTTTACTTTACCACTAACCTTAACCCTAACCTAACAAGTTCCAAACTTAACTAAAAATACAAACTAAGAACTGATTAAAAACCTAAAGAAATAAAATATATAATATTCTATGTAATTTTTTAAAACCTTTCATAGGTTTATAAATATAACATTAGGATAGTTATTTTTTTGTTTTTATTTTGATATGTCCTTTCCCCTTTATCTTCTTGCTTGTATCGTTTATTGTTATTTCCTATATCTCTATATTTTTTAGCTGTTTTTTCTTTGTCAGACTTCTTAATAAAGTGTGCAGCTGTTCTAACTAGTGATTATTAAGATCAAATCCTTAGAGAATTGAGGATCCAGCATAAAGCATAATGTTGCTAGGTGGATTATATCTGAGCTTTAGTGCTAAGTAAGTCTCTTCACATAGAATTATAGTATAGAAAGTTGTATTTCCTGTTAATACTGATCTTCTAATACTCTTAATAAAGCATAAGACAGAACTACTGAATATAAAAAATAAAAATAAAAAATAAAAAAAAAATTTAATATTCTATATATATATTTACAAATAGACTCTAAATAAGCTATACACTATTTAAAAACTAATTAAGATATGCTTTATACTTTACATAAACTATTAAATTATTATACACAAAAGTATATAAAAGTATAATGATTATACAACCAAAGTTTAATTGTAAAACTTTGTTGTATAATACCAATTCTAAAATAGTGATGCAAATCTCTATAGACCTCAGAATTCTGTGATTGGATTTTTGATAAATTTGGATCCATTAGAATATTGAACCTAGCTGTCACACCAAAATTCACAGAGAATCCTTGATTTTGATTGGCTATGAGCGATAATCAATAATTTAGGCCAAAATTACTCAAAATTTTACTAATAAAACCACAGCTGCACATTAAGTAAAAAATATTCCTGGGCTAATTTTACCATTGTGTGGGCCTATTTCTCTAAAAATTTCCATTTTAGGAATGAAAAAGTAAAAAAGTTAATACCGGCCAAAAATTATGTAAACAATTATGTAATGCGGGCCAAAATTTTGTAGATCACGGCCGTTAGCCAATCAAAATC